GGATGTGGGTCTATTCTTACTACACACCCACACCCACACCCACACACCCACACCCACACCCACACCCACCCACACCCACACCCACACCCACACCCACACCACACCCACACCCACACACCCACACCCACACCCCACATGGGCTATTATAAGAAAAAAGTCAGATCGTTATAGCTCACATAGTTCTTGAAATATAATCTCAACAAAAAAGATCATTCTGCTTGTTGATCAATTTTGGTACCCACTGTATTTATGTTACTCTCCATAGACCCGCTAGTTCCTCTATTCAATAGGATTGAAATATTTTCTCCTTGATCCATTTCAATCTAAAATCTAAAAAAAACCATTATATCACCCATGAATATTTCAAGATCTGAAGAGTTCAACAATTCAAGAGTAAAGTTTTCAACGATCTGATTTGGAGACCTAATTTTTATTTTAGAATCAACTCTTCAAGTTGTACACTTATATTTCTCCCTGGATACGGTGTGTAGCAATGACCTTGAATGATCGGGTATAAAAATGTTCAAAAGGATCTTATCGTACTACATAAAATTATCTCCAAGATGGTCATATAGAACTCGTATTTCATCGTGTTCGGATGTAGCCTCTTGGGCAGATTTTGGATTGTGAAAAAAGATTTCTTAAGCAAACAGACACGACGAGTCAATCAAATATAGAAATCATCTGTTGGATTTAGAAGTACAATTAGAAGTTTAAACGATGTCCGATGGTTTAGCACAGAGTTATAGCCAGTAGGGATTTTTTCTTACCAGTACCAGTACCGGTAGCGATGGTCAGACTGGTCAGTAGATCGGCATGAGTCATTTTTCATATTTCTTATTCTACAACAGTCAAAATAACCCTTTGATTAATCATATCTGCCTCCTATGAGATGCAGTAATGGCATAATAGTTATTTGTTCAATGCTTCTTACTATTTATGTCAATAGATTTTCTCTTTTATCATCTATTGGTGAACAAAAAATCTTAATTAAACTTCGAATTCCATGTTAGCTTTCTTTATTTATTCACTATTCGTCAGAAATGGACATTCACAGAAATAATCTTTGCTATGAATCAAAAATGTTTTATATGCCAAAAAAAAAAACAATTTTAGACTCATGTCTCAGAAAAAAACATGTAAAAATTCGAAAAAAAATTCAAACCGACCAGTATATTGGTTGGTAAGAGATTCTCTACTGGACGGGACCTCCTGTTTACTGTTACTAGTTACAACTCTAGTTTAGCTAATCACAAAGAAAATAAAAACATAAAACAAGCACCGTAATAGAGCAAATACTCTTCTAACTATTCGAGAGAGCTAATGTATTTATTGTCCGCGCTCAGCATCCATGGCTGCACGATTCGCCAAACTCGGATCGTGTGGATTATACCGTAGAACAGGGTAGGTTATCCTTTGCCCTAAATTCTGGTCCCCAGATTCGTCCCTACATCATGTCCCCATTTAGGGACAATTAAGCAGTTATGGTCAATTCTGGTGACCAAATCGGGACTTTTATTTAGGGACTTTTCAATTTAGGGACTTTTTTTCTTAAATACATACTATACCACATAGACCACAATTCAACATCATCCTCTACCGTGGTGAAATCTTTTATCGTTGAAACCAAATATTGTGACGAAAACTGTAGTATGGGTAAGTACTTTCTGGTCACCAGAATCGTTTTGTATTCATTATCTATAGTTATTCGGATACGCATTTGAAATTCAATTTTCTTTTTTTCTTTCTTCTATAGTTTATACGCCAAGAAAAGAAACAACATATCGTCAGTATGTGATAAGGAAAAATAATCCAAGTTAAAACAAATGATATTATACATATTCGTTTCTGCCGAAAATAAATTTTTTTCTTTAGTCTGTAGAAGAAGTGCAAACAGTCTTTTTATTTCGTTCTGTCGACCACAAAATCATTTTGTGTGACCAATATGTTTTAAGATCGTCAAAGAAGAACATTATTTTCTAGAATATATTGCCGGTACTAGACAATAGCATAGGCGGACGACTGCGTGTTGTAGGGTATAAATACTCCAAAAATAAACCTTTTAGTCATAACTGTTTCAAACATACTTACAGTTCAACGTATTAATTATACAATTCATTCAATGTAAGTTTATGCTTTTGTAAATACTATTTCTGGATTGAATTTCTAATATTAATTTCTAGTCGTGGTAAGTTCTTACAATTCTTATAAGAGTATGAAATCTTTCTAATAATTAGTAATTGTATTTCGAAAAACTAAGTATATGTACAAGATAGTCCTGGAAAATAAATTTTGTCGTGTCACTGTATACGCTAAGAAGCAAACAAACATTCCTTAACGAGATATACCTGTATGTTCTTCTTTGGTTTATTTCTATTGAAACTACTGAAAGTATCTATGAATTATTTCCTTTTTAATTAGTTTTCCTTATCACACTCTATTACAGAGTCAATTCTGGTTACCAGAATTTTGAAGAATTAGTTTTCCTTATTACACTCTTATAGAGTCAATTCTGGTTACCAGAATCTT